AGACGAAATCAGACTTTTAACTCTATAGTAATTGCTTAGTAACAACAAAGAAGTGAAGGAATTACAATTTGGGAGGATAATTCTCAGAGAGCTGGAAACTTGAAGGGCTTTTTTGTTTGTTTGTTTATTTGTTTTTTAAGAAAAAAATCTAAAAAAACCAAGAAGTATGAGAAGATTAATATTTACTTTGGAATATTTACACAAGAAGGTGTTTGAAGTTTAATTTATACTGTGGAAGAGAAGAAAGCATACAGAATCTCCTCTGTTTCCAGGGTAAATCTAGGTTTTCTCTGAATTTTATATTCTACTTATGAGGACTTAACATATTTCGGGTGCTCACCATGCATGGCACTACTTCTCCCTCTCCGGACTGTGGCAGACATCAGTTTTGTTAAAGTTTTTTCCCCCCTACCAGTTGTGGACTTGGCTTCAGAATCATTCTCAACGTTGCCCTCTTACCCCCACTCTAGCAGCAACTTTTACAGAATTGGTGTACAAGATAAAAACGATGTTCTATTCTGGGTGGTTATTATTACTACTTTACAAATGGCTTCAGTTATTTTTACTTTTTTCCTTACTCCAAAGATTAACAGGCATAAGGTTTACAAAGATAATACTAGGTGATGCTGACTTTGAAATGGAAGAAACCATAATCTTTCTACCACACCATGTTTTCAGTTAGGGACTGAAGTTGGTGTTATTTCTTGACTTAATTAGGGACAAAACTAAAAAGTGTCTAGTGATTATTGACTGGTTGAGGGGAGTTGGCAATATTAATAGGAAATATTTAAAGTTTCATGCTTGTTATATACGGTACTTAAGAATGAGCTATAACAGCTTATGAGTGCCAGCTGGGCATCAGTATAAAGGCCGTGACTACATTAATGCATGTGTTTTGGAGACAGAACTTCAGATGGGATGGTTGCAGAGTTTGAGAAGAAATGAATAGATCCTGTACATTGTAGTTATTTAGCTAATGGTAAAAATAAACATGGTAGAAAAATAAAATCAGTTTTAAAAAGGACTCCTAGACCCAGTTTGAAGGAACTCAGTCTTTGAGTTTAATTCCACTTTTGTATCTCTGGGTATATTTTTATGGGACTCCAACATCACCACATACTTTCTTTCCATAGACATGTAGTAAAGAACATACTTTATAGTAAGCTCCTCCCCCCTTAAAAAATTCCCAGTTCCCAGGCACTGTCTCAAGTATGTATGTGCGTGTTCAGATACAAGCACACACATACACACATTCACTGCACATGTGTGTGCACCCACACACATCTATTTCCATTTCCTCTTACACCATATACTCATGCCAGTTGTAGAGGATTTTGCCAGTTTACCTTATGCTCCTGCATGGGTTTGCCTGAAGGAAACAATGGTAACTGTGACTAAGCTTATCATTTTCTAACTATTTCTCATCTCATGTTCATGTTGCTGAGATGATTATTTCAAGAGCATTGCTACTATTATCCCTAATAAGTTTTGAGAAATTTACCTTTATTTAAGTTACCTTAATGGTTTAGAAAACAACTGCATAATTTTTATTTTTTATAAAAATGAAGAAAAATCAATTTTTATTTTCTCACTCTGTTAAACCTAGTATTGTAATTATTTTTTATGACAGTTAACTAGTGACCCTGGGCAACTTTACTTAACTTTTAGTGCCTTGGTTTGTTTGTCTGTAATGAGCTGGACAACTTTGTTTCTGAGTTCAAGGGTCTTATATTCTGTTATTCTAATATGGTCTCCAATTCTTCATTAATGTTGTGTCTTTGAAGTAAATTTGATGTGTGAAAAATTATACAGGAGTTCATTTTGGGGATGATTATTTATTTTAGTGGAAGATTCATATCTTTCTAAAGAGATCGACTGATTAAGTAATCATTCTCTCAAAGTGCTCTAGCCACTTCTTGATTTTTGGAGGTTCCTCAAGATCTTGAAAACAGAACTACTGTTAAGATCCAGGAATCTCTCTCCTAGGTATAATGTCTCTAAAGTAATGAAAACAGTGTATTGAAGAGATACATGCACTCCCACATTTATTTCAATCTTATTCCCAATAGCTAAGATATGGAAACAACCCAAGTGTCTCAATAGATGAATGGATAAAGAAGATGTGGTATATATAGGCATGCAGTGGAATATTAGACATGGGAAAGAAGGAAATTCTTCTATTTGCAGTAATATGGATGGACCTTGAGGGCATTATGCTAAGTGAGATAAGTAAGACAGATACAGACAAATACTGTATGATATCACTTATATGTGGAATCTAAAAAAGTCTAACTCATAAAAACAATGGTTATCAGAGGCTTGGGGGTGCGGAAATTGGGGAGCTGTTGTTTAAGGATATGAACTTGCAACCAACAGATAAATAAGTCCTGGAGATTAATGTATTGTATAGTGATTATAGATAATAATATTGTATTATAAACTTCAGAGATGCTAAGAGACTAGATCTTAATTGTTTCTACAAGAAAAATGGTAATTATGGGACATGATAGAGGTATTATCTAATGCTAAGATGGTAATCATATTGCAGTTGCAAATGTATCAAATCAACAGGTTGTACATCTTAAACTTACATAATGTTGTATGTCAAATATATTTCAGTAAAAATAACAATTCCTCTATATATTGGATATACATATTTGATTATAAGTGTATCAAATTACCACAATGTACACTTTAAGTATCTTACAATATTATGTGGCAGTTATACCTCAATAAAGCTGAAATAAAAAAAAATCAATAGTTATTCCCCTTGTGTATTATACTCTTAAAATCAGAGAAGCACTTTTTGGATTACCATAAGTCAGGGTATGACTTGCGTTTTTGTTTTGTTCTTTTTAGAAAGTGAACATTTTTCTTGGAAACTTTCCAGATCTACTTTCAGAGATTTTTTTTTTTTTAAAGGCATTAAACTTGTAGCCTTTGACTTCCAAACACACACAAATGCATTTTTTTTCTTCTTTACTCTTTCTGGTCTTAGGAAGGATTGAGGATAAAGGGAGTATTGATTTGAGTGTATTATAAAGAAATTTATTTAACACTTTGAGGGTTGTTTGTGTGTTTTGTTTTTTTTACTTTTAAAAGTAAGGTTTCTCCCTCCCCCCAATTTTACTTTATTGTCTGGTGTTTATCTTTAATACTCCTTTCCATTTCATCATAATAGTGACTGCTCTTGAGTCCCACATGTACGTCAGTGAAATCTCACTTGTTAGAATTTTCAGAGCATATATCCAGAATCATAGAGCACACTCTTACTTGCTCTTTCTAGTTGTGTGATTTTTGCGCATACTTTGGCAGATGAGACAGTTATCATCTCAATCGACTCTAAAATATACTAATTATTGACTTAGCTTTTTATTTATGCAATTCTTTCATTTGCTATAGGTAACTTGAATACTTTTAAAAGTGGGAGTTAATTTTTATTGACATTGTGCAGTATGGAGAAAAATCTTAGAATATAATGGTTTTTATTGTTACTGCTAACACTAAGCCTTATAAAAAACATGTAGTTACATTTAAGATTAGATGTGTATAGTGAAACCTAACCAATTTATATTAAATATGGGGGCAAGTCTAGTTTTAATTATAGGCTTTAGAAAGTGCAGCCTTGTTACATGAATTGAGTACCTAACTCACAGACCTTAATGACTATATAAGAAATATTTCTAAGCCTACACAAATATCAGTGATGGCATCAATATACATAATAGTTATATTATTGTTAGTACATGATTCTTCTAAGTTTCTTGAAGCTTGTTTCTAATGATTTGGTAAATATTCTCCTTCCAGTCATTTGACTAGTGTCTTCTCCATTTTAAAGATATGTGCTGTATAGGTGTGGTTCATTGTAGCCCTTCAACAAGTGATTATTGGTTGCTCACTGGTTATAATCAGTTAATAAGGTCTCACTAAGGTTTGCTGAATAGTAATTCTTTTATAATCATAGCTAAATTAGGTGCTTTTTCTTGCTGACTCTATTCCTGATAACCTGTGATTAGTCTGTAGTGTTGGTAATAAAGAAGCTGGCATTGTTACAACCAAGTTAGAATGTAGATCTAACCTACTTTGGTGATAGAAATACTGTTTTCTCATTTTTTAGCTTGCTTTCTGGATGACCTACTTTTTTTTTTAGTGGACAATCATGGTTTTTATTTCCCATCTTCTTGCTATGTATCTATTTCTTGTAACTTAACTGTTCATAATGAGCTTTATAATGAGCTAAGGTAATTCAGTTATTTAACATTTATACTATGCAAAGTTTAAACATAATTTACAGCATAATTATAAGGTCATGAATATATAGGACACTACAAAATTTTGTTTAGCTTACATTCATTAAAGTAATGGCACTATGTTTCAGAGTGAAGGAAATACTATTTCTATGGTAGGTAATAATATTACTCTTATGATAAAGTAATTTTAGATCATAATTATGACGAAATAAGTTTTGGGTTAAATTTTTTAGTTTTTATCCTACTGTTTCTTTACAAACTTTGTGTTGTTATTATAGATTTATAAGAGTGGGTGGCTGGAGAGTGGGGAGGGGATCATGTTTCATTTTGTGCAGTGAGTGTGTGTGATCAAGGATAAATAGTGCTTTTAAGGGTTGACCCTTCTGTAATAACTCACCCGGTACGTATTAAGGCTCAGACACAGAAGTGGATCCTCCTTTGCAGTGCGGTGCTTCCTTCTAGACGAGGTGAAGAGGTGCTGTGGAAACGGTGATAGGCTTCTGCTCTTGGGAGCTTGCCATTTAAAATAAATACTTGAAGGAAGCCTCTTCATTCCAAGACTTTATAAGATCTTGACTTTCGGCTTCAGGAAAACTCTCAGTATCAGGTTATCATATTTATATAGGGAAGTTCAAAGAGAAGAATTAGCAAACTCTTTCCCTGAGTGAATTTCTAGAAGCTGATTGTTTGTTTGTAACAGTCAAAGTCAGGTTATTTTCTGTTTTTAACTTCTAACAATTTTTTTTCAAGGTGGAGAAAGAACCTGTGGAGTACATGAACTTATCTGTATTAGAAAAGGTAGGTCAGTGCTCTGCATGGATATTTAAATACAAAATGAACAGTTTATAGTGTAAGATAAATTTTAATTTTATGGCAGATAATTTGGACTCAAAGTATAAAATTTAATAAATATTAATGTTTGTTATTTGTACTATAGCTGTAAGCATCCATAAAGTGCCGTTGTTTATGTGGTTACTGAATGTTATTACTTTGTATTTAGTTTTGATGGGCTGTGAAAGCCTGGTTTCTAGCATATTGGTTATTGGACATGGTGAAGAGGCAAAGAATGGAGGGTTTTATTTTTGTTCCCTTTCAGAATCTGGATCTGAGTGCATGCAGACCTCCCACTGACTTCCGTTCTATTACTGTACCCCATCAGAGAGATGTGAGGAGTTGTTGAAATTCAAATCGGGAACATATCCAAAGACCACAACATCTTTTGACACCTACAACTGTCTGTGCTTCCTTAGAAGGAGCCACCTGCAACTGGGTGGTTCAGCAGGGTGCCCCAGGAAAGGTCATTCAGTTATTAGGTGGGAGGCAAGGTCAGGAGAAACTTGGGAGTCTCCACACTCATAAATACTCACAAATCTGTGAAATGGTGTGAAGAAAAGAAAAGATATACCTGGGGAGGTCAGCAGAGGAAATCCTCATAAATTTACTGTGTTCTCTTTTTAATCTTGAGGGACTTTCTTTTTCTCACATCTTTCTTGAAAACTTACTTGGCCCTCCTGAGTCTGGCCAACTAGCTGCACTCCTCTCCCTAATGCCGCACCCTAAGGAGCGGTGTCAGTGTATGTACACATGAGTATGATTGGCAGGCCAGGGGAATGTCAGCGTATTTCCAGTGCGTCTTCAACAGGTCTGAAAGCCTCGGCTTCTTCAGTGTCAGAAAAATCCTTTTTAGGTGAATTGGACATGATCATACTAGTTTGTGTCATTGCTTGCAATTGCTGTTCACATACAAGCATTCTCGTCTCTTTGTAATGAAGTGTAGTTTATCTGTGTACTTCTGTGCTACCACAAAGGAGAAAAGTGAAATCAGTTCCCTGAAACCTCAGATTTAGGGTTGTGATTTTCACACTATTGTTGGTTTGTGCTTCTTGTTTAAAAAGGGGGCCAATTTATACCTTGTTTTCTTCCTCTATGTAAACACTTTTAGTCTTTTATAATATGTTAATCCAGAATTAATGAAAATGTTTTAAATAATTTTATAGTTACTACCTGTCTCACTAAAGCTTCTAAAACACAATTTATTTGGACAGCAGAAGGCACTGTACAAATCGGTTGGAATCAGGAGCTATCAAAACTGTGGTGAGGTGAAGAGAGAGTGAAGAGAAGCCAGCTAGGAGGGAGGAAGGTAAAATGTGCAAAGGCCTTTTGTAGCCACAGTGGAGAAAAACAGCGTAGATAGGGATGGGGGATGACACAGCCTTTCATTGTAGCTCTTCTTGCTGTTCTTTATTGCTGTCTCCATTCCTGTCCAGGTAGTTCTCAGACCATGCCTTGCCTAGATTTCTCTATGTTAGTTCAGCCTTTTCACTTTCTTTCATTTTTCTGTAGAACTTAAAATCTGTGATTAAAATTACAAAAAAAATTTATCACTGTAGTCATGTCATGGAAAAGTTTCCGAGTGTCTATGTATCCCTTTAGCATTCAGTACAGTGTCCTATTCTAGAGGACGTTCCATAGGTATTTGAATCTTTTCAAAATCAGTGCTAAAGCTTTTGCATTTTAAGCTGGACTGTCATAGAGTAGAACATATGAAGGTTACATAAAGTAGAATAGTTGTAATTAGTCTCAATGATTCTGGTAAAGTGACATCTCTGACATTATAGTCAATCTCTTTCTATCTGGCTGCTCCTTCCTTGTCTTCTTTGTTGGCTTTTCTCCTCTGTCAGACCTCCACATATTGGAATGTACAGAGTTTGGTCCTGGGTTTGCTTCATTTTTCTCCTTTCCTTCTGTTTGATTTTATCTAGTTCTGTTGTTTTAAATGCCACACAAATTTATAAATCCAGCTCTGAGCTGTCCTTGAGCTCTCTGCTCTCAATTCAAACTACTTACTTGATATTACTGTCTGGATGTCTGTTAGAATAACAACTTAACATATCTAAAATGCAAACCTTGATTTCTTCACGTGAGCCTGTCCGTTCCTCAGTCTTCTTCCTCTCAGTTAAAAAATAGAACAGTACTCATTTGTTCAAGTTCTAACTTAAGAATCATTCTATATTTCTTTCATTCTCTTGTTTTCATATTTTATTTATTGGCAAATTTTGTCAGTTCTACCTTCAAAAAAAAAAATATATAAATAATTTTAGCTTTATTGTTGATTGTTGCATGTATTACAGATGTTCCTCCTTTTTCCCCCATCGACACCCCCCAACCCTCTCCTTCACCTCCCTGCTGTTGTCTGTGTCCATTGGTTATGCATATATGCATATAAGTTCTTTGGGTTATCTCTTGCTACCCCTCCCAACCTCCATCCCTCTGAGGTTTGTCAGTCTGTTCCCTGCTTCCATGATTCTGGATCTCTTTTGGTTGATAGCTTATTTTGTTCATTATGATCCACAAATAAATGAGATCATGTGGTACTTGTCTTTCTCTGACTGGCTTATTTTGCTTAGCGTAATACTCTCCAGGTCCCTCCATGTCGTCTCAATGGTTAAGAGATCTCTTTTTTCTTACAGCTGCATAGTATTCCATTGTGTAAATGTACCACAGCCTTTTTTTTTTTTTTAAGAAAGAGGAAGGGAGAGGGAGAGAGAGATAGAAACATCGATGAGAGAGAACATTGGTTGGCCACCTCCTGCATGCCCCCAGTTGGGGATTGGGCCCACAACCTGGGCATGTGCTCTGACCGGGAATCGAACTGGCGACCTTTAGGTATGTGGGTTGACACTCAGCCACTGAGCCACCCTGGCTGGGCTGTACCACAGCTTTTTTATCCACTCATCTACTAATGGGCAATTGGGCTGTTTCCAGATCTTAGCTATTGTAAATAATGCTGCTATGAACATAAGGGTGCATATATTCTTTCTGTTTGGTGTTTTAGGCTTCTTAGGATATATTCCTAGAAATTGGATCACTGGGTCAAATGGCAGTTCCATTTTTAATTTTTTAAGGAAACTCCATGTTGTTTTTCATAATGGCTGCACCAGTCATCATTCCCATCAGCAGTGTACTAGAGTTCCCTGTTCTCCACACCTTCACTAGCACTTGTTTGATGAATTGTTGATGGCATCCATTCTGGCAGGTGTGAGGTGATACCTCACAGTTGTTTTCATTTGCATCTCTCTGATGATTAGTGATGTTGAGCATTATTTCATGTCTCTTCGCCATTTGTATAAAAAATTTTATTTATTGCCCTGGCCAGTTTGGTTCAGGGGTTAGAGCATTGGCCTGTGGACCAGAGACTTCAAGTTCGGTTCCCGCTAAGGGCACATACCATAGTAGCAGTTTGTCCCCGGCCCAGGTGTGGTCGTATGGGTGGTGATCACTCAATGTGTCTCTCACATCAGTGTTTCTCTCTCTCTCTCTTCAACCCTCTCTCCCTCCCACTCTATCTGAAGATAAATGCAAAAGTGTCCTCAGGTGAGGATAAAAAAAAATTATTTATTGATTTTAAAAGAGAGAGAAACATTGATCTGTTACTCCACTTATCTATGTATTTATTGGTTGAATCGTGTATGTGCCCTGACCAGGGATCTAACTTGCAATGTTTGTATGTCTGGATGATGCTCTAACCAACTGAACTACCCGGCTGGGGCAAGGGACACTCTTGATATTTGTAGAACCTCACAGATGGGCCAGATGTATTCTATATGTATAAATCTGGAGGGTGTGTTCTGATTGTTTCTAGTGCTCGTTCTTTTAGTGGTTTGGCATTCAGGATTTTGAATGTATGAAAATTACTAGTGAGTTGGTGACATGAATCTTTCAAGAATGTTTCAATAATTTATTTAAATGATGGGATATGTATATAGGAAGCATGTTGCTGAACTCTAAACAAGGAAGTGGCCCCTAGTATGAAAACTTCTGACCACTAATTTTTGGATATTGGCGTGTAAGCAGATCATCATATCATGTTCGGTTTCTGTGCAAATCCAGGAAAATCACTCTTCTATTGTTATATCAGCATTCAAATGTAAAATACTAAAAATTATGCAAAATTTGTAATTCTGTCCTATTTCTCTGCTTCATTTCTTTGTTCTGACTAAATTGTATATTGTATATAATGTGCTCTTTTTCTCAGCATATGTTTAGTTTGAATTTATTTTTGAAAACTATCTGAAGTGAGCCCTGGCTGGTTTGCTCAATGGTTAGAGTGTCAGCCCACGGACCAAAGAGTTTTGGGTTTGATTCCTGTCAAGGGCACTTACCTCGGTTGCAGTTCTATCCCTGGCCCTGGTTGGGGTTGTGTGGGAGGCAACCAATCGATGTGTCTCTCTCACAACGATGTCTCTCTCTACCTCCCTTCTTCCCATTCTATCTGAAACTCAATAGAAAAATATCCTCAGGTGAGGATTTAAAAAAATATATCAAAAGTGGTAATATAGTTCTACCCATTTAAACTATTTTCACCTTTTCTGGTTCTTAGGATAGATATATTTCCCTTTGGTGTAGTTCAATGACTTCTAGACAGTGCTAATAAGAGATTTCCTTGAATTGAAGGGACCAGTGTATTTTTGCAGCTGCTTTGTTGAAGTATAATTTCAACTTTTTTTCTGGCTCAAGAATTTTCAATTAGGTTGTAAATGTATAGAGCCTTGATGGTAACAAAGAATAGGGCTTTTGCTACTATAATTAAAATGAAACTTTCATTTACAATTTAATAGAAGGTGAGTATCATGGAGCTATATTTTCTTTGATTCATTTTTAGCTTCTTTGAACTTCTTAATGAGATGTTTATGTACACCCAGAGGGAAAAGAGCCCACCGAATTAACTCGTGCTTGTTATTTTTAGTTTTATATTCCAAATTGAGGCTGCTGTAAGTTTATATCCACTTTAAGTAAGG